CAGAAGCCCCTGGTTTGTGCTGATGGCTTCATCCACAATCATCAGTGAATACATACTGGGGTGGGGTTTTAAGACTAGGATAAAATGATATGTTTTTTCCAGGAAAGAAAAACATAAAAATGGTGTTCCTTAAGGAAAGAAGGGCCCCAGACGCCCCAGTAAAGTTACACAGAGGACCCATAATGAGACTATCCTGTTACATGTGAGGTCCATCAACAATAATCAAATCAATAGACCGATCCTATTGAACAGATGACAGCCATCTTTAGTCACATGGTGCTGGCTGGTCTCAAGCAAGGGCTACGCCGTCCTGTGCTTCCTGCCTGTTCCTCCAGGGTAACTGTTGGGTTTGCAGAGAGGAGACAGGAGAATAGAGAAGAGAACCCTTGGACCAAGCGGGACTGTGCTTCAGTTCAGGGTGGGGGGTCTCTCCTCACATAAGTGAAGAAGGATTCAGATCTCCATCCCTCAGCCTGTTTGTTGTTCATCACTCTGGGTTCAAGGTAGACTGCTGCCTACCCAGCCAGGTCAGACAGGTAAGTGGTTCATTTTTGAAAACCTCCAGAAAAGGAGGTTCTAATCCTTCTGCGGGATCCCCTTTGGATCCTGGGACATCAGATATACTTCCCCAAAAGTCCCTCCTTGTTAGAAACCAGCTCTCAGACAAGCTACTGATTATTGGGGACTTTTTTTTTTTTAACACTAATACAGCTTTCTGTGTTAGAGCTGAGACAAGAAGGAGCATGTGTTAGGACCCAGGACCTACATTACGATAAACAAAAACTCTCAGTTTCTTGCCGCCCAGAGTGTCCAGGGTCTGTCCGTGGTACAGGTACTTGGAGGCCAGCTGGTCTTTAATCATGTGATTCATAAGCAAATTCTTGGTCCGGGCATCAATGTGAGGGGTTCCATCTGCAAGAAAAGGGGCGGTCAGGTCCAGAGGCATGCTCTGGAAATGAAGAGAAGGAGATACACACACACACACACAGCAAGAAACCCAGCCCTCCTTGGCTTTGGAAATGGAGATTGAGAAATCAAGTGAGGCTGTGCTATTCCTTAACATCTGGCATCCTCTGTGAATTTTAAAAAATCATGAAAAGAAAGATCTAGATAATCAAGGGGGGTTGGAGTTTGGCCCTACAAGGGAGGGGAAGGCACAGACACAACTTGGCCCCCTTTTCCGCCTTCCTGTGGTCATGGCTCAGCTGTATCCTCACTGATCACCTATTACACTGGCGACTGACCCTGCCAGTAAAAATGGGTGGGGGTGGAGAGGGGGTGTGCTCAGCTCTCCAAGACGGCGCAAACTCTTGAATTCTGAGGACCAGAGTCCCAAATGCACTCTCTGCTCTGCCAAACGAAAGAGCAGCGCCTCTGAAGTTCCTGGGGAAATCACATCTGTTTTCAGTTGAGCTGGGTGGGAGCCCTAACATCCCGCAGGGTGCAATAAATCAGGAAGGGTGCTGTGGAGGTGACAGCCTCCGGGCAGCTGTCCCCGGGGACAAATTCACAGGGATGCATCCCCTTCGGTACCTTTGAAGACAGAATTCAGGGGGGCCAGGAGCGTTAGCCTCTCGTTTCCAGAGAGATGAGTGCTGAGGCCCGCTTGTTTGAAAAGGTCAATGGCGGTGGAAACATCGGACTCTGCGGCCAACTCAAATAGCGTCTTGGCTACAAGAAAGCAGAAAGTGGGTTCAAAAGTTAAAAGTGCTGTTTTCATTTATCCTTTGTCCTCCCCAGAGCATGACATATATCAGCAGGAATGTCACCTTGTGAGTCAACAACCCCTCTAAACACTGCTGGGGCACTGTGGGTCTGTGTCATCAGGGGATGGTCGTCCAGAAAAATCTCACTGGTCAGGGAAGTGAGGTGAGGCTCAGTTGGGGAGAGGCGAGCCTCTGTCCCAGCAGCCCTTGGTCAAAGCACCGACTAATGCTGGGGAGAAAGGCAGCACTGTCTGTCATGGCTCTGGACAGCAGATAATGCCAGTGACCACACCCATGGAAAGTGCTTTCTTCTGAATTGGTTTTCCTATGAAATGTCTTCACTCACGGGCAGTAGACTTCCCTGGAATTCCAGGATGGGGCTAGGATGCAAACCAAAATCTGTTCAGTCATTTCTCCCAGGGTCACGGACCCTGGATGCTTGGGGACTACAGAGAAAGCAAACGCTCTCAGGTCAGCAAATGGCCCTCTGTGCCCAACCAGAGCAGGCAGATCTTCTGAAACGCTTCTGTGATTGAGTTGCTCCCTCCCGTCACCTTCAATGGCTCTCCACTGCCTCTAAGATGATGTCTGGACTCCCATGCCTGCATCTCAGGATTCCTCACAGTCTAGCCACAACCCACCGAGTGCCCGGGCCTTCTCTCCTGACAGGCCGTGAGCTGGGTGCAGGAAGAAAAGTGGCCCCAAAGATCCCTGAATTCCTCCGGCCCCGTCACCATGGACAGCAGAGGGTACAACGGGCCTGGGAGGACCAAGGCCCCGCGAGACCTGGCTTACCTGAGTCTGGGATGAGCAGCTCATCAATGAAGTGCATCACACCATTGGTGGCCAGGATGTCTTTATTGGAGATGATGGCCTTTCCATTGATGGTGAGCATGTCCCCGCTGCAGCCCACCTCCAGCGTAGTGCCCTGCAGGGTCTCCACAGACAGCCCTGCGACGATGGCTTCTGCACACATGGCCGACTTCAGGATGTGGTTGTTCAGCAGGTCTGGGGACCGGACAGAACATAGGCCAGTCAGTGCCGCTGCGGGCTGACCTCAGGGCCGGCTCGCGGCCTGCCCAAGGCTGTGAGGACTCTGTTCTCTCCGGTGCTAACCTTCAGATGAGGCTGGGGCGCCACATAGGCCGGACCCTCTTTTCCTCCTGTCTGCTGTTTCTCTAAAGCTAGCCAGGGCTCGGCGGTCAGACTGCCTGAGTTCGAATCCCAGCTCAGCCACTTATCAGCTGTGGGACCCTGGGCAAGTCATTTAGCCTCTTAGTCTCAACTTCCTCACCAGTCAAGTGAAGATAAGCACAGCACTCACCTCCTAGGGCTGGTGTAAGGATGACATGAAACTCTGAGTGTGAACCACCCAGCATAGTGCCTGACAACAGAGTAAATGCCTGACAAATATGAGTGGTTAGTGTCACACCTGAACTTCAGGGGGAATTCTCTTATTATTAGTATCTGAATGTTAGGGATGGGGGAAAAACTCAGATGATTTTACCCTGGGACGTTTTACCTGCTGACTTTTATAAAAATGTAAAATGTGGGTGGAAAAGATGGAAACTGTAGCAAATGAGGCTTTGAATTATTTGTACACTTTGTTTTTGTGCATTTTACCCAAAGGTCTATGAGTCACCAGGATTTGTCTTAGGGGTTGGCGATGGTGATCAGTAAGACATGGTTTTCCACCCCATTCACCACACCCATACATCGGGCATACATCGTAAATATAATCACTTATTTACTTGTCTTGCTTGAGGGACCAGACGGGGTTGGGGGCCCTG